GCCGCCATCAGCCAACCAGAACCTACAGGTCGTCAGTGCACGCGTGCGTGCGTGTGTAACCTCTTGAGCCACAGTAAAATACAGCCTCCTTGGCCCTCGTAGCATTCCGTCACTGCTGCTCTGATTATTACTCCGAATGGCGCTTCCACAGGCAGAAATATTCGAGGACCAATTTCCCCTGATTCGAAGCTGTCCTGCATTGAACGAAATTCATCTTGCTCAGGACATAAAGGATCTGCAAATAGAGGTAGGTTTCCTTACTACGGACATTTGTGTGTATGTTTGGCAGGTTGGGGGCGGGGCAGTGCTTCACGCCGATCGAATAATATTAGCGGCCCGTATTCCTTCTTTGCGAGCCGCTCTCAGTGGTCCACTCGGAGAGGAAAATTCGGTTCTCAGATGGCCCACAGTGCCTCTCAGGTAAATTTTCAATCGGTTCTCTGATCTTGCTTTATCCATGCGCACTTTATAGCCTCGCAACGACATTCATTCAGTATGTCTACACGGGTCAGGTGGAAATGACACAAAGTAATGCGAGGGGCATGGTTACGCTTGCCAGAATGGTAAAACTGCCCGACCTTGTGAACTGGGGAGTTGCATTCATGGTCAGAGGGTAACTATCGTCCTGGTCTTACCTACACACACTAAAGCCTCAATTTAGAAAGTCTGCCAGCAATTTGGGACTTTGCCAGGACCCTGAATGTGGAAGTACTGGAGGAGAAGTGTATCGGTCTGATGATGGAGCAGTTTGAGCAGTTCATTCAAACTGACCTGTTTGTCGGCTTGCCCGCTGAAACGGTGCTCAATCTGCTCCGCAACGATGATATCTCGGTGGGATCTGAGGAGCAGGTAATTGCGGCCATTTCGCGCTGGGTGGGCGCTGGTGGTGTTGAAGATGATGATAGGCTGAGAGTGCAGGCTCCGGCAATGCTGAAAGAGGTGCAATGGCAGCTGACGAGCCTGCAATGTCGCAGTCGCCTGCTGGATAGTTATCCAGCACTCCAGAAAAGTAACGAATGTCTGTAAGTTTATGGCATTTGAGCCCTGTTAATTCGATATAAAAGTCGTCTTATGCTTCAGGTGGAGCAGTGGATTGGCGCTGCAGAGAAGGACAAGCCCCCTTGCCCCTTCAACATCAGGCCACGCGTACGCCAGAAGTTCCTCCTCTTTGAAGATATCAAGGAACCTGTCATCCATGCTGCAATCCCCTATTTTATGGCTGTGCCTCGGGTAAAAGCAGCTGCATCGGCGTCATCATTATCATCACCGTCGCCGTCGTTGAAATCATCATCATCATTATCGCAAGCCGTCGTTACTCGCGCGAGAATACCGTAAAGATTCAGATCAACGCCACCGCCGCTGCCGCCGCCATCACCTCCACCACCATTCCTCCTAATCATCCTCGATTTCCTCCTCCTCCTCCTCCTCCTCCTCCTCCTCCTCCTCCTCCTCCGCCTCCTTCTTCTTCTTCTTCTTCTTTTTCTTTTTCTTCTTCTTCTTCTTCTTCTTCTTCTCCTCATCTACATCGTTCCTCTCATCATCTACGTCCTCTTCCTGCTCCCATGCGTTCATCTCGATGCTTTCGCCAGCATGACCTATGAGCATTTGAATAAATTGAAATTGTTTATCCTCAATGCTCATTCCAGTCTAGTATTTACTGTTGGCAATCTTGTCTCGGGCGCTTTTCCTCTTTTTAACAATTTACTGTGCAATTTCTGTGATTTGCGAGACGGCAACATTGATTCTTCCACCAGAAATATCGTACTATGTTCACCGTAGGCACTGCAAATGAACCTATGTTGAATTTCTGTGGGATTGATTTTTCAAGGCTGATATGTTGCTACAATCTTCCGCGCATTGAAGTACTTCACATGGTAGAGATAACTACCAACTGCCGCTAGTTATGTTTAGGCTTCCCATCACATAAATATCCACCACCTCTAAATGCTCTCAGTCCATACCCTCTCGAAGCATTTTTTTCTACATTAATCTACTACCTGAGACGATATGATATCTAAACTTAACAATGCTCTAAAAAGTAATACTGTACTAAGAACCAACGAAGAGAAAATCGGTGTGCGTACGTAATGAGTACGCTATGCTGTGCATTGTAGGGCAATTATGATAACTGATGAAAATATGTAAAGAAGGGTTTCTCAGAAAAACATTACCGACAAGGACAACACAGACTGGAATGGCCATTTCTGGCTTATTATCCGACATCAGATGGTCATACCCAATCCCGAACTGTAGAACACCTGGGGCTCCATTCCGCACCTGGTGCTTTGAAGTCCAACTCCTCTAACCACTGAGACACATGCTGGCCATTCAAGTCCCCCTTGTCCTTGTCGGTAATGTAAGCTCTGCCTATATCACGCTCCGCTGTGCGGCTGTTGGCTGGGCTCGAGAGAGAGAGAGAGAGAGCCATAAGGTACAACGGGACGAGTGAGTTAACGTAACACATCTACGTGAACGAGACCCGCTGTGGTCGGATGCGGTTGGGTAGCCCCACCTGAAGTAAGCAAACCCCAGTCACCTATAACACGGGTCCGGTGGTAATAGGGGTTTATACAAGTGGAACCTGGGAACGCAAATGCGACAAAGTCAAGTAGTTGTATGCAAAAGTATAGCTATTGAAAGTGCGTGGTTGTAATTACAGTGGTTTATAAATAGTTGCACCAGCTCCTAAACCTTACCCTGAGACCTTACTATAACCCATCATTCTAAACCCCAACCGCTAACCCTAACCTTTGACCCTAACTCCAACCCCAACGGTATTGTGTCCAGAAGAAGAAGCGATCGCTGGAACAATGGCTTTATTCGCCCGACGTTTCGAATTCTCTCTTGAATCCATCATCAGAGACAGTTGCAGGAAAGGGTAGCTCGTGTACAGGAAAACCATATTATGTGATGAGACATAGACTGGCCAAAGCAATTGACCACTCGAGGAGCGCGCAATCCGGTGAGCCAGATAGCCCAGCAATCATCACGCCAGCATCCAACACGGGTGATGAGATGTCAGCAATTAACAACTTGCATGCCGGCCATCAAGCAATTAGCGCACCAGCGGGCAACAATCCTTGATGAAGGGAGCACGGTTAATTGCTGTAGGTATGCGGTAGCATGGCGACAGCATCCTATAAATACTGCGACTTCCTGTACACGAGCCACCCTTATCTGCAACTGTCTCTGATGATGGATTCAAGAGAGAATCCGAAACGTCAGGCGAATAAAGCCATTGTTCCAGCGATCGCTCCTTCTTCTGATCAACTAGTTCCTGGAACTCGCATCTTCGCTTGTATCGTTATTGTGTCCATTAGGGGGGCCTACCCCCGCTGCTACATGAACAACCAATTAGTGCCTGGATTACAGGCCATTATCGATAGCACACCTGGAGCTGCTGGGCCCTGAACCGTGAGAAGCCTGCACACCAGGCCAGGTAAAATCGATCACGCTCAATACATAGTCTGATATCGATTGCAGTACATGCACATGGTTTCTGCCAGGTTGACGTGAGTTTAATGCGAGGAGAGGCGCACTTTAATAACCTTGAGAATGTCGTCAAACTGAGCCGATTGCCGTGGCGTGCACAATCGATGTGTGCGCGTCATTGAACAATAACAACCTGGTCACAATCCAGCTTCCATTATTAATAAAAATTAACCGTATCTCACCCTGGGCTGATGAGATTATTGCTAAATATGCCATCACTGCAGTGCACTTATTTTGTACGTAAATGGTTCTGTAGATTTTCGCACTATTATATTATTTCGTGGGTTTCATATGCAGTATTACTATTTTGAGTATTGTAAAGCTGGGATTCTACCTAATCTCAACGAGCGTATTAATTCCGAGGTAAATGTATCTCATTCCTTCTTGTATTCGTCACATGTCTTTTACTTATTCGGCAGACTATCCTCCTAAAACAGCCTTCTGCGCCACAGCCTGGCTGAGTCAAACAGTCATAATTCCGGCGAATTCTGCATTGACATGAGCAGCCAAGCACTGGAAGCAGCCAGTTCGTCTCTCTGCGTTTACCACAGCTGACAGTGAGGGGCGTTCTCAGGAGATCGTTACTCACACCCAGCACTGATTGGCTGGCGCCTACCAGTGGTGGGTCCCGCACGCAACGCCTTTGCTACTATTTCTCATCAACCCCTATCCTCGTGACGATCTGGTCCTGCGATATTTGTGATTCGTTATTTTCACTATCTTAGCCCTTAGTTGGTGCAGCCGCAAAATTATTCTGTTGATCTGAACGCGATCTTGTACCGCAAGACGAAATAGGTCTACTTCCATTCCTCAGATAAGATTTCGATGCATTTACTGCTGGTGATCTTGTCTCCGGTGTCATACAAGCAAAGATTCGTTGACGTGTACAGCCGGTGACCGATCTCATGACATATTATTCGAAATTCTGGAATGCGTTTTCGGTTGGGAGGGATTACCTTATTGCGGTTTTTACGTTGATTGTCTTCCGACATCATCCCAATATTTTGCAGATACCGGCCATATTCATTATAGGTTTGCGCAAATCTCCCAGTAATTTCTCGCTCAGATGAGTCCGAGTCGTGACTGTTTGGGTTTTATCTAAGTTGCGTACTTTCACATTCCTCTTTTCTAACGATTTACTGTGGAATTTCTGTGATTTAAGAGGCAGGGACACGGACTGTTCTACCAAAATATCCTACTGTTTTCCATGGTAAGCACTGCAAATGAAACTATCTTGCATTTATGTGGGTTTAAATTTTCAAGTCTGATATGTTGTTACAACATTCCTCGTATTGAAGTACTTCAGATAGTTGATCGATAGCTTCCGATAGTGTTGCAATGGCATTTCAGATTAATTTCTTTTAAGTATCGCAGCATGCTAAATAGAAATGGTAACTGTTTGAGAAGATGAATTGGAGTCTGGTTTTGGTTGGGAACGTGGCATCTTTCTGAGAGAATGTTTGTGTAATAGTATAGCCCAGATACATTTAACACAGCCAAATACACGAACTGGTCTCTAAATGAACAAAAAAATACTTACTGAAAGTCCGTCCGGAAATAGAAGTATCTGTGTTATTAGCAACAATGACAAGTGAGACTGGAATGGCCATTTCTGGCTTATTAACCGTCGTCAACTAATCATACAGAATCCCGAGTTCGAGCCTCGGGTTTTCCACACATCGGGGCCCTGACCCTAATCCTATTACCACGCAGCCTCTCACTCAGTCTGCATTTCATCCACGCATGACATAATTCCTCAGTCAAATTATTCTGAGGTTCAATACCACAGCAGACACTTTTTTTGCATTTCCCGTCATAATTATTAAAGTACTGGCATCAAAATCTCACCGTTATTATTCCCACCAGTCAGCAGTGCGGATTCGGACCACCACCACCACCACCACCGCCGCCACCACCACCACCACCACCACCTCCGCCGCTCGGAAGAGCAGCTACTGACATTATCCTCCCTCCCTCACTCGTGAATTGTCTATCTGGGCAAGTAAAGTTGAACAGGTAATGGAAATTTTGCAACAGTTTCCTCTTGATGGTAAAAAAAGTGTTGTCGACGTAACGAAGTCAAAAATCGGCCCGTGGTAGATGTAGGCAGTCTTTTCTAGCTCTTGTTAAAGTACCTCTGCCATTAATCTGAGATTGGCGACCCCGCTAATGTTTCTTTGATTTGACCATAGGTTTCTCTCGCAAAGGTAAAGATAGTCTTTGAAAAAGTTTAAACAGTCTCGTGAGGTGTCCAACTTCCAACGGGCCCTTTGTTTTTTGGTTTAATATAACAGGGTTCGTGCGCTAGATGTGGTCGAATTTATATGAATAATGATGTCACTTAGAAAAAGACCATCATTCCTAACATTATAACCCTGAACAGTAAGGTCAACAGAGCAAGACAAGGTTAACAAGGCGCATTAGATTCTAAGGACATTAGAGGGAGTTGTTTAAATTATAGCATGTGGATCAAGTTCGGGATTCCGCTTACCCGTAACTTAGATAAATTTTCGTTCTGACAGTGCTCCGTTTTTGGCTTGTATGCAGTGTACCAGAGTAGCGTTTATTTTTCAAGGTCTTTTATGGTTTACTCACTGAGAACTTGGACACACACCCTTCTAATCCGTTCGATTATCACCGTGCACTTATGTGGAGGTTGGTGGCAGTCGCCCATCAGACCTCGCGTCATCCACTTGCTAAGGCGTTTACAACCTCTATCTCTGGCATTGTGCGTCAATCCGTCTTGGACGTCGTTGTGCGTGGCTGATCGTGTGTTGCTGCCTTTCGTGTGGAGAGCATTTCTCAGCTGCGGACTGTCCGAAGTGCATAGCGCCCGAATGTTCCTCAAATGGAGGCTAGCCTTCGAATTGCAACTGTCTGTATGAGTAATAAATAGAAGAAGAGTAAGAATACCAGTCGATCACCGGATCCACTCGTTTACGTGTCTAAGCTCTTGCATTCGTGCAGGACTCCATTGTCAGAGATAAAAAAACAGCAACAGGGCCAGCGGCAGTTCCAGGGCGTACAAGCTAATCAAGCATCAATGCCGCCAGTCTGTAGGTGGTTACGCAGGGCTCTGTATGCCAGTACCAGATCGGTACATCGATTGACTGAGTTCTCTCTTGGGGCCCAGACCTCAACCAATCCTGGGCTTGTCTTGCTATTGACCTGCACGCTTATCTTCCTAGCTGATAATTTAAACTAGTGACCCGTTTTAAAGGTGTAGGCAGCCACTCCTTATAAATCATCACCCCGTCGCACAGCCAACCTGTGTTCGTGTATGTGCGATCGGAGCATGAGTTCAGTCTGGCCCACGTAATTGCAAAGGCAGTTTAGACGTAAGACCGCACAAATTATCAAAGGACTCCCTTTAGGATTTAATTGATCCTTTATTTTTATGACTGTCGTGCATGGTGCGATTGTAACACCTTGTTCCGCAGTAAGGCGTTTGGTTGCTTCTGAAACGCCCTTAAAGCAGCACTCGACCCTACTACTGTGTTAGTACAGCACGGTGTGAACAATGATCATCTGTCCACGGTACACACGCAAGTTCATGGGTCGGGCTGCATTAGGATGCTAGATGCTAGGAGGTGAGTAAGGCAGAAAGAAACTGATCCAGCACCTGGAATACTTCTTCATTATTCTGGGCTTCAGAGCTCGTGCAGGAGCCCATGTTCATAGATAACAGCAATACCCAGAGAAGCGGCAGTAAAAGTAGAGGATGTTAGGCAAAACAACGTTCGGGACCGCAGGCCCGAAGGTGACTACGCAACCGTGTAAATACTGCGACTGGTCGAGTTCTTATCCGAGGCGCAGGCCTCGATCGGTTCTCGACTTGTCTTGCTTCTCGCGCGAGCGACTAGTTTGACGGCTGCGAAGTTAAACTCGTGACCCGTTTCGAGGGTGTGGGCAGCCACCCCTTATTACTCATCACCC